GTCACATTCATAGCTGCAGCTTCTATGGTCCTGACCTCCCAAATAGCTTGTGTAGAAGCTGTTCATTAATGTGGTTCCACAGATTGGCATTTGATAAAGTATATTCATAATTTGAGGTTTCTGAACTGTGGCACTAGCAACAGATAACACTAAGAAGAGAAGATTTTTCACCACAGTCATTCTGTCTGCTGCTTTTGGCTTTTTTTCTGCATAAGTTTACACCTTTCAGGTAAGACTTGTTTCGGATGGCTCAGTACTGACCTTAATATATTCTCTTAAGAAATAATAGTAGAAGGATTTGCTTAGGTGTGATGCTTTTCTACCCGGGGATTTCCAGCCTTGATAGCCAGAGAAAGTGCATTTAAGAGCTGCCTTCTTATCTGCACTGACTCCATCTGCGTTTTGGTGGTTGTGAGAAACCTCCCTTCCTCGGTGTACTGGCTTTCAGTTGTTGCTTTTTTTCCGTGGATTTTTCCCTTAATCTTTTTCCTATCTTGTGTGCCTCTGGCAAATCAGCCACAATCTGCTTCTTAGCCAGTGTATTGGATGAAGATATATAATGCTGTTATTAAATTCCTTTCCTCATTCAACTGGACTGAATGATGACAATGTGATATGACAAACATTTACATTATTCATTTTGATCTATTTAACTTATCCAATTCTAACTAATTGTTCCATCTAATATCCAACATCTTAAAGACCTCAGTTGCCACCTGTTTCATAGAGTTATAAATCCTTTTCTTTTCCAAGACCTGTCTTACTCTGTCGTCCGTGACCGGATGAAGTATGCTGTTTTATTCTCTTTCATTTTGGCAATAAGTGGAAGAAATTGGGAAAAGATCCTTGACCGTCTTGATTGTGGCGTTTTCAGAGTGCTTATCTTTTCTGTTTACGGGGGATTTTATCGCAGTTTTTAAGATAGAATGCTTACAACTCATTGAGCATCATCTTGGGACTTAGAAACTAATAATAAGTCTAACATAAAATAATTACTTTTTCTAAAAATGTTTGTTTTATTACCTACCCCTACTTCATTTCATGCATGGGGGAATACTACTGAACTCCGTATTGCACATCGCAATTTGTTCCTAAATAGTCATATCTTTCAAACAGCATAGCATGAAACAATTTGAAGCATAAGTACCTAATTCAAATGGATAAAAGAACTCATTCTTTTAACAAGTTTCCCAGTTTTAGGGTAAGAGGATTTACCCTTGCATATCTAATGCAGCTACACAAGTGCTCTTTTTCAGCACCTGATAAAACGATGCGTTCTGTTCTGAAGAGAATTATCCTGCCAAAGGAAAGGAGTTTATCAAATATGGGTAGTTGGGGTGGGGTATTTTGCTTTTATAAATCTGGAATGTATAAAATGAGGATTATGTCATGTTGTGAGCATTTCCAAAAAAGAAAGAATAGGAAATCTTTATTCATTTTAGGAAGTGTTAGGAATGCTGTGACAGGACTTCATGCCACATAAATGGGCTCTTAAATTTCTCCGTGGATTATTGAGAGGGTAGCAGTTTTTGGATTCAGTAGAGTTCTTTAACATTATTATAAAGATGTATTTTTTCAACATTTTATTTTATTCTTGAAGTAAAGAGTCCAATTAGCTGAGCACCCGTGTATTAAATAAAAACAAACCCGACTACTCTGAGCTAATGTTGCTGTACTGTATTTGATGAGATGTTGTTCTTAAGTAGTGCAAAATATTTTACTTTTTATTGCAAATTTTACTAGCGCGTTGAGGTGTAGAAGAAAGGAAGGGGCAGGACTAATTTTTAAAAGTATTCTTAGAATTTAGTGTTTACCTGTTAATTTCTGGACTGTACTGCTAAAATCTTATGACATTGTTCTAAACTCTTCCTGTGGGTTATTGGCTTCATTTGGGAGGGGAGGAGCCAATCTGTAGTTTTACTCAAGATTTTATTCCCTTTTTTTATGATTTTAAGTTAGACCTGAGATTAGCAGTGCAAACCTCCAGCTGCTAGGCTCTATGTCGTGTTACCAGGATGTGATCACTACTTCGGTAGACATGTACAATATTTTTACCCACACTTTCCAGAAAGGTAAAATTAAGGGTCAAAGATTTGTGATGAGAAATGAACCACTTTGAAGTTAGTGAAGTGTAAGTGTGCAAGTACCACTGAAACTGGACAGTAACAAGAGGCTTAGGTCATATCTATTTTCAGGCAAGTGCAACAGAAAGACTTGTAATATATTGAGCTCTGACATACCCTTCATGTGGAAGATGTGGAATGAAAGCATATGTAATTCTTTGTTATATTCTACCCAGCTGCTTTTTCATTATGTGATGAATTCTTACATATGCTCTCAAGGTATGAATGTATTTAACAGCTTTGGCATTGGGACTTACTTTAACATTTGGTGCAAAGAACACGGTTTGCAGAGTGTTTGGGGCAACAGGGAGTAAAGTTCTGGTTCTCACATAATTAAAAAATGAGCTGTGCTTTTGTAGGGCCTTTTATTCAGCCTGCTCTTGTTGAGCTCATATGTTGCCCGGGAAAGACCTGTGAGCAGCTCCTGAAGATGCAGTTTGCATCCATAAATTAACTAAGAACATCCAAGGGCAGTTGGTAAATGCATTAATAATTGTGCAAACATGTAGTTTTGTTGTTTACAGAGCAGTGGATAGCACCCAGGAGGAGCAGCTAGCAAAAATGATGAGAAGAGAAGCAGCACATGTAGATGGGCAGGGATCTCATTTTCACACAGGCATGCTGTCGAAGCAAATGGTTTGATACTTCATTATGTTTTATCTTTGGGTATTGATTTTGCCTTGGGAAAATTCAGTGTAGTTTCTCTCACACAAATGATGAAAGCTCTGGTTTTCAGTTCACTTGAGGGTAAGCGGGAAAGGCATTGGGCCCAAAGGAATTTGATGAGACGTCTCCCCAGAAATCAGCCTAGGTATAATCTCGCAAGCCGTAAGAATTTTGAGACTGATAATTATTGCACTAAAGTATATCTATTGACATGTTGGTAGGTACCAATTAAAATGAAGCTGAGATCTACAGAATAAGGTAAAATTTGTGTCAAGTTGAAGGTAATACACTGGTTATTACCCTTTCCTCATTTGAGGTGAACTCTTTGTAACCAGGATTAGGTAAAATATAAAATAGCTTCCACTAGTACAAAAACTTCTTTACTTGATTTTATCGTACTTGTCAGATATGATGATCACAGGAAAAAAATTTATATTGGATTTCAGCCTGTAGTAACCATTTGAATTTTCTTATGAAATAGTTTTCAAGTTCTTTAGATATTAAAACTCCCACATATTTCAGAAGAATCAGTATGAAGTGCCTGCATTTCCTACATGTTCCTATATTTCCATATTTGGTGTTAAATCTTATGTTTGCATGTTATGGAAGTGTTTTATAACTTAGGCTGCCCTTTCTAAATACTTGGTTTACATAGCGCTGATGACATGTTATAGGTTTAGGATCTTGCTAGCTTGAAAATTTAAGATGACAGGAACCTTGTCAGATTTTTTGTATGAATTGCATTGAGGTGCAAACTCAGACAAAATATTCAGATACAGTTGTAGAAGGGTAAATGCTTTCCTAAAATACCCATGTTCAGGAATCTAGTAAAATTTCACACATCCTACATATCCAGAACAGCTGTTGTTAGAATTTAAACAGTTTGTGTAGAGACGCCCAAAATCAGAACTTGCCTTTGGCAATGAATCCATACTTCAGTTACCAAAACTGAACTGAAAGAAAAACTTCTCCATCTTTTACTGTTCCTCTTATTTCAATTTTTAAACACTCATGTAATATTCTTGTATCTTCTTGTTTTTCTGTTTTATCTGAACACTGTGTAGTTCTTAATGGTGTCCTGAGAGCTTCATAACATCCTAAAATAATAATGTACAGGAGTGATTATCCTCATACTTGGTCTTCACCAGAATATATTGAGATAGATAGATAGATAGATATAAACATAAAATCCTTGAAAACATGTCTTCAAGTATTTTTCCATCACTGCCAGTGCTTGATATTTAATAATAACATAGACCTTTACTACATGTTCTTGCAGTGTCCTCACTGAAGAGCTGAAGATCTTCATGCTCTAAACACTTTTATTTAGACTCACTTCCAACTAAATTAATTTTAAAATATGTATTAATAGAAAAGTTTATGCATCAGAGCGATGTAGTCTGTTATCACTATGGTTATTGGATTATGATGGTTGGATAACTGGTGGATTATAAGAAAATACTTCAGTAGTTACGGTGGGTTGCTCAGAAATCGTGAGACCACATAATAAAACTATATTGGTAGAGTATGTATTGTCTGTATAATTTCATAAGTGACTAGTATACGAATTCACTCATTTTCTGAAATGCTTTACAAGACTGATTCCTTTTAAGAAAATTTACAGAGATGAGTTGGTATCCCTTAAAATTTTTATGATTTTAAATACATTCCTGTAGCTAATGAGGGGAAATTCTTGTCAGAATCAGCACCACTTATTATAACTCCTGGAAAAAAACCCTTGTGTTTTGGTCACAGTTGTTGAATTGTGAATGAAAACTGCAAAGATATAAATTTATCCATCAGATTGAATTCTCAGGCTCTTTGTTATTACAGGTATTCTGGATTAGGAAGCGGGGGTAAGGTAATAGCAGAACTCTGCTCACGTGCTTGGACTTATGCAAACAACTTTGTTTCTGTGGAAGGAGCACCCTCAGTGATGCTTAGTTGTGGGTATAGTCTGAACTTTGTCTTCTCTTTACAGGCAGAACTTGTTGATGTACAGTATGGGACCGTGGAAGACTTGATCCGGGTTCAAGCCATTACAAACGTGACCAAAAAAATTGCACTTTTGAAGCTAGGACAATCACCTTTGCTTTATAAGGTTAGTCAAATGCTTGTTGAACTTTAGCTTCATTATTTTAGGGTTTTTTCAGTTTCAAAATACCAGAATGTATTTTGGTCCCATTCAATCCCCGTAAGTCTGAATTTACTGGCATTCAGATTTTACCTTAATACAACCCACTTTGATCTGCGATGCCTTTTATGTGTTACAGTTATTTATTTTGCTGCATATCTTACAGCGCCCCAGTAGTATGCCGTATTTTCTCTGGGTGTACTGTAAGCCTTTTGGCAAATAAGGAAATCCCTAAAAGAAATAACAAAGCATGAATGGAAAAAAAAACCAACAAAATGCAACTGAGATCAGGAATAGTTGGATCTGTGTCAGCTAAAAATGTACTTATAACACTGAGCTGAAATCTTACGTTTCTGCATACTGGTATGTCATACTTGGCCACTGGCTATAGTTCAAGCATGCTGTGAGAGGAGGCGGAGCTCACCATGTCCTCACCTGACCTCGGTCTTCTGTGGGTCTTTCCAGTCCCGCTGGGCTGTGTCTAAAGCCCAGCACTTTGGGCCTTGCTGCGGGCCTGCTGCTGCCAACACTGAGATTGTGAGGTAGTAACCAGTAGCGTATACTGTAGGAGGACTAACATCGTTTATGGATTTGTTTAAGAAATGGTGTCATAACGTGATTCCACCATGACATAATATAGCCTTGCTCTGTGGAGAAGGTGCCTTTGCCTTCTCGGTTCTTTCTGTGCTCTTTACCACCTTAGAGGGGAGAAAGGGACTATGAGTTGAAAACCAGCATTTACTTCTGTTGTAAAATGTGTAAGCAGCCTACCCTGAGGTACACAGACAGGCATTTATTCCCCCTACCAGTAGTGGTCAGACACTCTTGTAAAATCACTGGGGTTTACTGGTCTATGGATGGGTTACCACCAGTTCAAAATGAGAACCCTGTTTTTCTTCCACTCCTTCATTCCTTCTGCTTCGGTTGCAGCTATGTGTGGGGAGAGGTGTACGTAGGTATGTGTGTGTCTGTTCTTTCTCCTCCAACTCCGGCACTGGCAGAGAGCGCAGAGATGGAGCTCACTAGTCCACTCATATATTAGATGTAATAGACTCAACGCATAAACCACATTTAAACTCTAAATGTCACCTAACTGCCTTCTATTGCAAATATTTTATAAACAAAAATGCTATTTTGCCTTTCAGAAATGCACTAGCCCAATAAATATTTAAACAATTCATTCCCAATTCACAAAAGCAATTATAAAAGAACAGTAACTCCAGATCTTATAATTAAGAGAATCGGGATCTGCTCTGTCGGCCATAGAAAGCACAATCGGGACCGCAACACAGGTTCAGAAAATAACCACTTAATTTTTTTTTTTTCTATAGGAATAATATTTGTCTCAATAAAAATGCCATTTTCAGCTGAGTAGCTTTAGCTGTTTATTTGAATTATTTAGATACAATCTAATTAGGCCTGTGAAAGGTCAGTTATCATTGTTGGAACTTGGCTGTTGTGCATCGTTTCCACCAATAGATCTTTTTCTGCGTTTCACCACTGACAAAAACAATGAAATGGCAATTGGGGCTCATAAAGTAAGAATCTGATAAAGATGCAAAGTTTCCTGTAACAGCAATGTCTAAAGTGTCTGAGATGGACTTTTTACCAATTTAATTTGTGTTCTGTATGCACTTGCTATGTCTAAATTAGCAAGTGGTGCAGCCTAAAGGAGTAGGTAAAAACAGTTGGTGCTGAGGACAGGGTGCATCTCAGGAACTTTATTTTGGGTTGGCTGTAGTCTGGTCCCTTGGTGGCTGGGGTGTGTTAGCCACCCTTCTGGTGCTCATCTGCTCTTCCAAATGGATCCATTTTGCACATTCAGAGTCCGTTACGCAATATGAACCAAAGTGTGGTATGATCAGGAGTTTGGTTTCGAATGCACACTTGGGATCTGAGCTAAAAATACAGCTCCCCAAACCTACCTGTGTTCTGCTCCTCACACACGAAGTTTACCCTTTTGTTGTTATTTATTCTTTTTGAGGTTGTAAACTGTCTTTTTTTAGAATATAAACTGTGTCTCTTTGGCTGTGAAATAATTGTAAGCTATTAAGTATGAGAAAATATTTAGGAAGATATCAGAAATAGGTGTGGTTTTTTTTTTTTTTTTTTTAATAAGGAATATTTGAAGTCAAAGAGGATTGCAAGTCCTGGCGGTTTAAATGGCCCCGGTATCTCACTACTGAATCCTTTTTCTGTCTCCTCCCCCCGCAATGTTTATGTTTCTGTACTTACTCTCACATTTCTATTTCAGCAGATACCTTGCTCAGCCTATATTTTCCTTATCTCTGTCTTCCACGTGCTTGGTTTTACATCACTTTAAAACAGAACGCTAGTTCATAACAGAGCTGTCGCTATATATATTTGGGTTTTTAATTTTTTTATCTGGTTTTCTTTCTAATTTCTCTATTTCACTTGTATTTTTCACATTTTAATGTTCTTTGATTTCTCATTATAATTACTTTATATTATACAAATATCTCACTCTGGATTTGGGTCCTATTTTTATAGATCCTGCACCAAGGTTTCATCTTCATAACAGAGTTTCTAATCATGACTCTATTTTTCATCTTTGCATTTTTCCTTGCATGGGTACGCTTTTTGCTTGCCTCTCTTTTACTGCCGTCATCAACTGCTGTTTTTCTTGTGTTGTTCCTATTTTCTCCCGTGTGTTTGTAATTTGCCTTTTTTTTATCTCGGCTGTTCTTTCTCTCCATATTGAGTCCATTGGAAAAAGCCTGAAAGAAATAATAAAGTGCTGCTGGCAGAAAACTCTCCATGAAAGCTGAACAATGTTTCTTTAGTCTTTACATCACTTGAAGAGAAAGAAGTATGTACTGGTAGAAAACAGCTGGATGTACAAGTGGATAATTTATAGAAATAAGCCTGTGATGAAAGTTTGAATATTTTGAAAAATAATTGTATTATTGACAATATTTTTGCTGTAGACATTTAGTTTGGTATTTTATGGAGATTGGATGGTGTACAATATTTGGAGGAGGAACTCCAAATAATTTGGAGCTTCTAGTTTCAGTCTTTCAGACTACTCCCATTCAGACACACTGAAAACAACAGGCGGGGTTCAGAGCTTGGAGTAACTTGAAATTGGAATATACAGGGAATTTGGAGTATGCAGAAAAGCCTGAAATTAGTGTGCTGTTGGAATATGCAGTTGAATCCTTAATGTGAGTGATTCTGATTAAATTTGGTAAGGTTCATAAATTTAAGCTGCTTTGTGAGACAAGGTTTGTAGAAATCTGACATTACATTAGTTTTTGTAATTGAATATGATTTTCAGATTTTATTGGGAGTGTTGTATTTCTATTCCACTGAAACGGAACGTAGTAGCTGATCTTTACTTCGAGGGTGTCACAGCACTGGAACAGGCTGCCCAGGGAGGCTGTGGAATCTCCTTCCCTGGAGATATTCAAAACCCAACTGGATGCGTTGCTGTGCAAGCTGCTCTAGGCGAATGTGCTTTAGCAGGGGGGTTGGAGTAGATGATCTCCAGAGGTTCTTTCCAACCCTCACCGTTCTGTGATTCTGTGATCAGGGCAAGAGGGGCAGCAGCTATGGCTGTGGGCAAATTCTCCTAGAGTGTGGGCGTAGCCACGCAGACACATCTCGATCGATTAAGCTGGAACTTTTTAAATAAAGAATATGTTACTACAACCACATGATAAGTTATATGTCTAAGAAGAAAGAACATGGACCCTACCTTTATAGCAGGGTAAAGTATCAAGAAGAACATTGACTCTGGGGAAAAAACCCAAAACAGGTAGACCTTTACATGGCTGTGATAAAAAGAATAGATAAAAAAGGAGTGTATAATAACATATATATAAGTCAGAGTGGAGTGGAGGGTTAGAAAGGGCTTTTAGCGTTGATATGGCACTCCTAAGATTAGTAAGGGAGCGAGACTCCAGTCTATTGTAAAATTAATGTTAAAGTGGGAGGAAAGAAGGGTAGAAATGCTTCAAGGGATGGAGCAAGTTATAGTATGGCAAAGGCAGAGTCATTTTCAAATGCAACTGAAAGGTTTAGGAATTTACTACTCCCGGCACCTGGAGTGACAATTTCCTGCAGCAACAGAAACTAAACCAGCAGACTGAGCCGTGAAGCATAGAGGGAGCCCTCATATGATGTGTTAACTTGGCACAGACGTGATGCTAGTAATTTCTGTCTCTTTAGCCAGAATAGTGCACAGTGCTGAATAACTGAGAGAAGGAAAAAATTTAAAATACTGTGCCTACTCCTGAAGGGGTCTTGTGACTAGTCTGAGACACAGAGGGGACTGGATTAAGGAAGAAGAAAAGCTTTCTTAAGGAGAAAGCTGAAATGAGACAAATGTAGAACAGAAGTGAAGCACTTCTGGAATTAACTACCACAAACAAAGTAGAATACTTGCTTCCTCGCGCCTTCAGGTTGAAAGTGACTACCTCCTGATGTTCTGGCTAGAAAGAAAATTTGAGTTTTGGTGGAACTCAGGTTACTGGGATCACTGATGAACTTCAGTAGCCAGTTACATACAGGAGGTCAGAGCAGACTCGCTGATGTCCTTGAACCAGGAGAGTTTATACATGTGGGGAAAGATGATAAAATTTATTACTGGTGATTAAGCAAATGAATTCTGTGATGTAGGACACCTTGAGAAAGAGCAACTTGGATTGCCTGCTGTGCTTGTAGACAAGAAACATATTCTAATAGTATAAAATATGTGGTGACAGAAGGATTGATGAGACCACCTCACTAGCACCCAGCTCTGCTACCCTAAAAGTCATCTGAGTATATGTCACCACTGTGAGCACAGAAAAGAAGCCAGAGGAGGCTTTTTTCCAGGGAGTCAATATCCAGCCTCTGGAAATACCATCACCAGATTATTTTTTTTTTTTTTTTAATGTTGTGAGGCTTGATCATGATTTAATCTTTTGGCATTGGGATTCGAGAAAAAGCTGTAATTTCTGTCC